TGGAGCTTTGGGGATGTCGTGGACACGTTTGTGCAGGTTCCTTCGGCAGCAATATGGCGGGCCTCGGGCAAGTTTTGGGACTGCAGACCTGGGAGCTCTTGGTGGTCCCCCATCCACGGCTACCACGTCCAGCCCTGCTTGGGTGTTCCGGACCAGCCAAGGAGGACGCGGTGCTGCCACGTCTGTGCCCGGTGGGTTCCCCGTCCTTCTCGTCCCCATCACTGTTCCCCACCTGGTGGGTTGTCCCCCTTTGTATCTGCTGCAGATGGGGGGCACCCCTATGCCCAGCTTAGGTGGTTGAGCCTGGACCCCCTCTCCATGGCACCAGCTGCCCCCCAGAAACATGATGCAAAACAGCCAATCTGAAGGCAGCCCCAGCAGGAACGGGCAGCAGCAGCCTCTCTTCCTGCCCAAAGGGGCCCCAGGCGTGGACTCGGGGAATGGGGAGGGGGAACCTAAGGCAGCCTGCGCCTGCTGGCAATGCCTTCCCCGTCCCCCTTGGCACCAGCTGCTTGCCCCAGAGCCCCAGGCCAGCACCTGTCCCACCTGCCTGCCCCACCATGACCTGGGAGCCCTCGTTGCGGTTTTTGAGGAAACTGGACGGTGCTGAACCGTTTTTCACAATGAATCTGGCAATGAACTTACTGGCTATATTCCCCTCATGCATAGAAATTGATGCAGCATAAACAATTAATTCTATTCTCATCTGTTATGGAGAAATGCCAGAAGGCCCAAGCGCACCTTCCCCTGGATCCACGGTGGCATTTCACAAGTGGAAAATTGCCTTGGCCAAAAAGAGCAAAAAGCTTTGAAGATGGGCCAGTTGGACATCATATATTATTTTATTTATTTATTTATATTTCGAATTTAGATGCCGTCCATTTCACAAAAAAGTGACTCTGGGTGGTTCACAATAAAACAGCAATAAATATTAATTAAAATACGATAAAAACAATATAAAAATACAGTAAAACTAGAATAAAGCCAAAGACATACGCAAAAAATATCTTCCAAGATGTTGATGATCAGTAAGATGATAACATATGGGAGCATCTTCAAGGTGCTAGCCCCCCCAGGGGTGGTTGCCCCTTTTCTCACCCCATGCCAGTTGGCAGAGCCAGGTCTTGACTGCTTTCCAGAAGGACAAGAGAGTTGGGGCCTACCTCACCTCTGGGGGAAGCGTATTCCATAGGGCAGGGGCCACGGCAGAGAAGGCTCTCCTTCCGGACCTCGCCAGTCGACATTCTTTCATCGATGGGGTCCGCAGCATACCCCCCCGCCTGACTGGGTGGGATGGGTAGGTATAATGGGGGTGAGACGGTCTGTCAAGTAACCCTGTCCCATGTCATGTAGGGCTTTAAAGGTGATAACCTACACCTTGAATTGGACCCGGAAGCAAACTGGGACCCAGTGCAGCTCACGCAGCAAAGGTGTAATACATGCCATCTTTGGGGCACCTAAAATTGCCCGTGCAGCTGCATTTTGAACCAGCTGAAGCTTCCAGATACTCTTCAAGGGTAGCCCCGTGTAGAGCGCATTGCAATAGTCTATGCGGGAGATGACTAGGGCCTGAGTGACTGACTGGAGGGACTCCCGATCCAGGAAAGGGCGTAACTGGTGCACAACATGTAGTTGAGCAAAGGCCCTCCTGGCCATGACTGCCACCTGGCTCTTCGAGCAGGAGTCGTGAGTCCAGGAGCACCCCCAGATTATGCACCGGTTCTGTCTGGGGTAGTGCGACCCCAATCAGAACCAAAGATGGTAAACTTCCAGATACAGAGGAGCCCCCAACCCACAGCCACTGCATTAGTTGCATTAATATTTTTTCCCTAACAGATTACCCTTGTCTAAACAATTATCATATGGCACAGAAATAGGGAATATAAATATTTAGAATGTCTGCATCTCTCATCAAATTGGAGAAATATATCTATGTGGACTTCCGGGGGAGGTATGGCAAACTGAAGATGTCTCTGCGAAAGCGGAACTGACAACTGTGGCAAAGACCAAGAAACCGGTGAGTAGACCAGTTCCTTGCAACCTCTCTGGATAAGGAGAGGATGGGAGATTGCCCACTGGTGCTCCAGACAGCTGCTCCTTGCAAGGAGACTGCAGGACAGAGGTTTTCCGTGGGTTTGAGCACCAAGAGATGACAGAATTAGCCATCATGCTTGCAACTGTGGCAGAGACTTTAAAGGGCACTAAGTTCACAAACCTGACTTTCTAATCACTTTCAGAAATTGCTCATTAACTACTTCTAAGCTATTCGTGACCTTTGGACTGACAAGTCTGAAAATGCCCGGTGAGTCTGCCTTTAATCCTGAACAAAAGAAAATTTTAATCATAAGCGTAAGAATGTAAGGATCTGAAATAAACAACAAAAAGCTAAATAAGATTTTGATCTTAGAAAGTTGTAAATGAACTAAGGGTCCTGATAAAATTGGAATATTGAAAATTTTTACAATATGATTTTGGAATTAATTATAAAGAACAAAGAGCTTCTCATGGGAAATAGATTCTGTTTTGGCTTTTACAAGACACAACAAAGATAAGCAATTTTATGATTTCAAAAACTGGACACTAGAAGGGGCTAAAGTTTTTAGGTAGAAGAAAGATCTACAAGCCTGTAAAATGTTGAAAACATAACAATGAAAACATTGAAGGAGACTTTTGGACTTCCAGAGAAGAAATAGTGAATTGAAGATGGCTCCGCTAAAATTGGAGCCGATGACCATGGTGAAATGAGGAGCCGGCGAGTA